ACTATTGCTGTGTGATTTATTACTATTACTGAAGGATACTCACCATACCAATACCAACTAGATTTTTAAATCTTATTATAAAATGAGTAACAGTAGGATGGACATTAGGTAAGGCTGCACTTTTTGCAGCGATCTCATATAGAAAACTATTCGGCGCGTATATAAAACAGGTGTTTGGGTTTCCACCAGCGTGGAATTACCAAAAAAATTGACAGAGCATAGCCTAACATATGAAACAGGAAAATACCGCCGTGTAATCCCTTTATTTCAACAAAGTAACTGTATTATAAATACCACCTTTTTAAACAGTAACTGTAACCGAATAAAGTTACTCATATTATGTATTTTAAATGCGTAACGCCGCTACATGTGTTCCGTTACTCCCCAACACTGCCAATGTGCTATGATGACAAAACTTGCTACCATTAGCTGAAAACACTAACGTTTTGTCTCACTATGGCCTCTTCTGGCCACAACGAAAGCAAAAATGACTAAATTGATAAAACCGGGGCCTAAAAACTAGATTTCACAAAGAACTGTGTGATGCCACAGTGGCCACATCCACGTTTTGTATACAGCCAGCGCTTGAGAGACATGTTGTAAATGAATAACGATCATAAAGTTCACTTTAATTTAGGTTCAGGTGACACAGTCAGGGGCAAATTCATCTTTCTGTGAAGGATTAGAGTGGGAAGTCACGGACTTACGACCAGGCTTCAACCACATACAGGTAACATTGTTATGACTGCATGATGGATGGTGGCAGCGGCGGTAGAGAGGACGGAGTAGACACAATCGACCGAGTGCGAAATCAGCTCCCACATAAAATGTAGGTCTTCATTAAAAAACACAATTACGGTGCCTGTGGTAGTCTCATGTGCCATTTTGTTTTTGGCAGTCATCAATCAAAGCCCCACTCCATATGCACGGAGAGCCTCTCACCACACATAATAGCAACACTTATCTCACAACATTAACTCTTAAATGTTTTGACAGGTATCGATCTTTTCCAGCTCTGCATCTATTTAAAAAGTGAAGAAAAATAAGAGGATACGAAGGTGGGACAGGCTTCTGTTCAAAGCACCCGGTTGCATATGTGATCTTAGTGAGGCTACAGTGTATACAGGATTGCCATTCGTCAGATCTATACTCTTTTATAGACCGCCATTATATTGCCATATATAAAAGGTATTTATGCCCCACCAAGGCCGTTCACAGCGCAAGTCTTGTGAAGGTCAAGGCAGGGTCTGACACAATGATTCATACACCACAATTAAAGGATTCTCTACACCTTAATTAACATTGATTGGCTGCTGACTAATCAATCGCACCAGTGACGGACAAGCAAAAAAGGGGCCCCATCTCATTTCGAGCCGGCCAAGTAATGAGATATGGTCTGCCGACTCTCGACTCGTGTGAGCTTTATGTGTTACGTGACCAGCTCCCACCTCCTTCCAACATCCGCCTCATCTTCTGCCTCTCGCCTCATCTGACCATCAGCACCATGAAGACTTAAAGTGCAGGCAGTAAGTCGAACAATAAGAAGTCAAGCCTATGAAAGTGAGGAACAATTATTAGGGCTCATCTCTATACCCCTTTTCTTTGCCATACTTTCTGATTTATTCTACTTAGAGACCGGAGGATTTGTAATCAGCAGGTTCAAAGATTATATGTCAGAAAGAACTGCAAAGGAGATGGTCGGCAGAGACTGGAGAGTGGATATTGCAACACATACACATATTTTTACTAACTATATTGCACAGTAGCTGTTGTTGTGCAGAGTACTGAAGTACCGGGCTGATACCGTCTTTTAGGTTTACCGACGCTCACTGAGAATTTAAGCTATGATCAAATCCGAAAATTTAATCATACAGTGGTTTATAATAACTTACTCTTGAGGGAATAACGTGTATTTACCGTGTATTTAATATTATTGCAAACTTAATCCCAGCCTTATCATCCATCTTGACCCAAATCCCTCTTATCAGTCCATGTTTTTAACCTACACACACAAATGCCTCCTAATCAGTGTTCCTATACTGTCCTGAAGTCACCTAGACACTGAAAAATAATTACAATTAAATGTATAGATAGAGGGAGATGGAGGGAGAAGCTACGGACACCACAAAGACTTCACAACACCAATTATGGGTGTTAATCGGGATTGCGTCAGACAATTGGCACTGGTTTGATCCTTGAACTAGCATTGGGGAGGGGTAATAGAGTCAGTATGAGGGATGAATTTAAATATGTATAGGCGTACGTTGCTTACACACAGCACAGCTCACAGAGGGAAGTAAACAGCAGGTGGCACGAGCTGCTGCAGGTATCGCCTTGGAAGGTTTCAGAGGCAATGAGAAGCAAACGGATTTGTGTGTAGGTTCAATGGGCACATAAGCCCCTTACAGCGATGCAGTCCTTTCCATTAACCTGGCAGTATCTTAATGTGCTGGCTACATGTCTGGGCAATGGCACTCTGACAGATCAGATTACTGAAGTCAATTCAGTCAGTTCTTGAAAAAAAATGCTAACAGGAGCTGACGTTAGCTTGTTGCTTCAAGCTGTTTCTAGAAGTTTTTCTTGGAGTGACTAAAACCCTAAAAACCCGCTAAAAAAAGATTGCAGTCCCGTAACAACAAACGGAAACTGCAGGCTTTTATTTGTACGTTTAAACCCTATTTTAAAACACTTGACATAATTCTGAGTATAATATTATAATATAACCCAAACAAACCTTAAACATTGTTCACTTATTCAAACTGTTATGTATTTAAATGGTTATAACCTGTTACTGTGACTTCATAATAAAAATGAATCGGCTATAGCCAAAAAGTATCCCATGCCAATATTTCTGTCAGGCTGAAAACCTGCCCTCAGCTCAATCCGTCACATGTCACATGACCTTTGACCTTGAAGGAGAGGTGAAAGATCACGTGACATATTTTAAATCTCCCTATGGCACTTTCTACATGTTGACAATACACAGCACACTTGTCAATTTGCAACCAATAAATCATTAAGTTGACCTTGGAGACCTTGAAGCCAATTTTAACAGACGGCTAACATGACCGACTCTACACCCCTACAACGTTTTATCGAAATTCATCCATTTTTGAGTCACTGGATGACACGGATGCGAACACTGTTTTTACTCCAGACGTGTGAGCTGCGTCTATAAGCTCCACTTCAGTAATTGCGAAATAAGTTAACCAGAGCGTGAGCGGATGCATTCACATAACTGTATCTCTGACTGTCAAGACAACTATGAAAACACAGCTGCCGATTTAAGAAATCTCCAACCAGAACACACCGTGTGTCATTTGATGTGCTGTCCAACTTCCCACTGGGTACACAGCGACGTGGAAGCACCTTGGCTTGTTCCATGAATGTAGCGGGAGAGCGTGTGAACGATGTCATGAGGACCATTAAAGTTAAAGTGTTTCAGCGTTTGAATGACAAAATGCCGCCATCGACAGACTGATGAAGGCAGCAACGTTACATACCGCGTGCCTGAAAAGGGCTTTAATGACACCAAATGACAAGGACTGCATCTGGATGTAATTATGTATGAGATATGATCTCAAAAAGGCCATAAGAAACATTTTGCTATTTGGCCTCCAACTACCG